GGGGACGATCTGTTGCATCAGTTATATAAACCGCTCAGATTGGCTGTAGGAGAAGAGAGGAGAGTAATGGTGGAAGGAACAGACAGAAGGCAAACAAGGAACGAGCCTTTGAACCGACAATGCTCACGTACTGTTCCTGCAGCAGATAGTCATCAGGCAGTCTGTGCCTTGCTGAACAGTTACATGTGGCACAGTCATGTTGAAGAGGCCAAAGTTCAGGCGACGGTGAAGCGCCTCATTACAGGACCGCTAATTCATTTGTATCCAGAGAATAAAGTTGGATTTGGATTGAAAATTGTGGTAAACCACCACATGCAAGATACTCATAGTCCAGTCTTATTAGTATCCAAACTTTGTGTTCAATATTATCTGAGCTTCTGCACGCGTGTGTAGACTTTACCTCCAGCAGGCCGACAGCAACAGTCAGCGCAACACCGGTTGAGCGGAGTGACCGTTTGCCCTGCGGGACAGGCCACGGGTCTCTCTGAAGCTCACCGAGCAAGTCAGTCAGATTCATATCCACTCTGTGCACGGGCTGAAGGAACCTGTATTTGAACACAAGCACACCTTAGACAAAGAAGAACTGCGAAGTGTGTTTCCTAACTTTTGGAAACAGCTAACAGAACAGAGGCGAGTGTTAATGCTCCTCCTCACCTGCAGGAAGCGGCAGCATCCTGAGGTGCCAGAGGGCGACCTGGTTGTCCCGATGCTGCTGGCTTTGTTAAACCCAGCAACTCCTGAAACACACCAAAGAAAAACAGTTATTACAGTTGTGCTGTTTCACACATAAATCTCCTATTTTGTCTCATATCTCAGTTTCCTCATTCCTTTGGCGCCACCGACCTGGATTTGTTTGGAGGAGAGGTCTTTGGTGCCCCTGAACACGTAGCTCTTGGCGATCCCCTCACAGCTGAGCTCGTGAACCTGAACCATGCGTCCGAATGTGATGAGGCCCACCAGGGCGTTGGGGGGCAGCAGGCTGAGTGACATCTGAAGGGACTCCTTGAGGGCCTGGAGGTCCTCTTCTTCCAAACACGTGTCCACCACATAGAGGAAGATCAGAGGGGCTGTGGGTGCACGCTGTAAATAAGTGAGAGGGGAAGGTTACACATTTTGTTTCTGCATAGTTACTACATTGGCTGCAAAGCAAAGGATGTTTCTGTTTATTTCAATAACTGTAGAACTTAAGATATAAAAACACTACATGATTATGACAAACCTCTTTCACTAATGTACCATATTAGCTGCACCTGATTAGTGTTGATCCCAGTGGCTAAGTACAGGGCCTTTTTTCCCCTCGATGACACTGAACACATTGATTATCTGACCCACAACTGGGACACAATAGAGTACATACAATCTCCTTGCACAGGGCTGAGGTCAGAGTGCAGACATGCATGTAGTATTTACCTGTACTATGTACTCAATGGTAGAAAACTGTGGCATGAGCTCCGCTGGCTGGTTCACGTCTGATATGCCTGCGTAAGAGGGAGGGAACTGCAGAGATACAGAACCGGATTAGCAACCTCAATAAAGGAATGCAGCGAGTCCAAATTATCGGCCTTGCATGATATCAAATTAAAGTATGCTGTGAACGTCAGTACTTACGGGGTTCCTCTGGAAGCAGAAGTTGCACGCCCATATTTTTGCTCTGAAGTCAACTTGACTGTGAAGGAGTGAGCAAAACAATTGGGTTAAGGATCCACCCATGTGGCAGGAGTGTAACCGTGAGTGACACATATGCCCATTTGCAACTCTCATGTACCACACCTAGTATTTGCTGATGCAGGAAAAAGCTATTTATACAAAGCACCAAATTCCCTGCAACCCATTTTATTTTACTTGAGGAATACTAAAATGAAGAAATGTCAAGAACATAGTCGGCACTAGAAAGTTGCACAGATGGTTGAACGCAATTCCCGTCTAAAAAAGAAGGCTAAAAGATACATCAAAATAAAAGGTTGAATACTCAAATCCTTGTTTTTTGATAACTTGCAGTTAAAACAAACATTAAAAAGTGCACATCTGTAAGCAGGGGCATGGTTTCCCATTTAACTCACCATAGTGGGTTGAGCACTGCCTTACAGTTGGCCCGGCTGCACAGAACTGGTTCGTACTGGACCGGCGGAAGGTCAGGCCTCTCCTTGAGCGGTGTGAAGAGACAGGAGACGGGGACCACGAGCCTGGTGGCTTCCAGGCGGCTGGAGGGCCAGAAGTTCCAGCTGAATCTCACCCCATCCCTGTCCTCGTTCTGTTGGATGAATTCCTGGTAGGACGCCATCGCCGAGCTTCAGCAGAGACGGAGCACAACAGATCACGGTGATGATTTTAAAGTCCAATAGAAGCAGTGGATATAGTTGCTCCGACAATGGCAGACTAAACAAGTGTACTGCTCTCCACTGGCTGCAGACAGCCGCTCTTTATACAGGTGCTCCTTTCCCCCCCATTCTAAAATAAGACGCAGATATACAAAAGAATGACGCAAACACCTGTCCTAAGCATACCTGAACAGCATGTTTTGGAACAGTAGAGGAATCCCAGTAGTATCTTTAGGTTACACCTTTGTTAGCCTATGTCAGTGAGACGTCACACCTTTGGCAAAGTGTCACATTAGATCCTGTTGTAGCAACAGTACCTGTTTCTCACCGCGATCAGAGGAACTTGATATTTCCAGAGCAATGCAACAGTATTTCAGCAGGTTTACAAAGTGCATTTGATGAGATGACACAAAACAAACAAAGTAACTATCTTGTGTTGTCAGCTGGGCATAAGATTTCAGAGGTACAATATGATCTTAGGCCAGACAACAAATACACACAGTGGTGAACCTACCAATTACATTCCTCACTTAATTTAATATTGATGAATCATCAATTACTATTGGTCGGACTCGGACAAAACAAGCAACCTGAGGAGCATCATTTCAACTCAAGGAGATAAATCGACAACAAGGTTGTTGACCTAATGAAAAGTAAATTGCCCATATGTGATAAAGGGGAAGTGGGGTTGATTGTGTGGCGTTTACTCTGAGGGGAAAGTACAAAGCAACCTTGAAATTGTATTAAATCATAGAAATATTCACTATTTTTGAAAGATGTTTACAACGGTTAGCTTCCATTAGATAGCACAGGCCATGTATCATTGCTGGTGAACACACCAGTGAAGGTTAAGACACGTTAACTGGCGTGAACAGTATTTCTACATCGAGATGAACAAGCGGCGGTTTCGCTGCGTCTACGAGTAACGATAGTGTTGTAGAAACCACGTCAATTCCACGGTAAACGTTAGTGTTAACCGTCGTTGCCAAATATCCGTCACTCAAACCCCTAAAAGCTAACGCTTCGTTGTGCGTCCGGCTGGGTTAGCTAACGGAATGTAGCATCGACCCACTTCCTGTCCCTTCCTTGAATGGAAGCGACCTACTTTCGGGCAAAGTTAGGTCGGGTGCTTACCTCTTATATCAGGTTGGTCTCAAGTCTAGACACGAGCAAAATAGTCTGTTGTGTTCAAAAGAAATCACGGATGTACAGGACAGGAATACGACGGTGAGGGGATCGCTCCCTACCAGACCCGGCTCTTTGCACTTTGCTAAAACGACGTGTTACTCCAAATTCAGGCGTCTCCTATTGGCTCTTCTATCAGTGACGTCGATAGAGCGTGCTATGCGCACGCAAGGGAAGAGGGTAAGCATGGGACATGTAGTTTATATGCAGTTCACAGTGTTGGCCTACTGCAACGCCGGTATCTCCCCTAATAGCTTAGTGAGGGAGTTGTGGAGGTTATCTGATGACATTATTGTACAGTGTGATGACGTGTGATTAGACCAGTGTTTGTTTCCACTCTTTGCTATCTCACTAATTGTTGAGCTACTCACTGCGTAGAGAGGTGACTAATCTAAACCTAGTCATACTAATAGTAGAACATGAAGCTACTGAACTAAATGGCCCTGTTTCTATTCCACTATTATTTAGAGGGCATTATTCTACCTTAATTCTAAATCTACCCTACATGTATTTGAAAGGTATTGTTGGTAGTCAATACAGTAGAAATGGAACTATATTGCAATTGAGAGTTATAATTAATAATAATAGTTGTAGAATAATAGTGTTACTATAAATAATTAATTAGTTTCTTCTTAGATGATTTCTGTGGGACCTACTGAGGTTTATGACTCTTGCATGTCTCAATGAAGTCATGTTAAGAGCAAATAATTATTTGTTTTGTTGTGATGGAATTAATCTCCAAATTTACATAAGAAAAAAAATCATGTATCAAATGCACTCCATAGGATATGAGGATAATTGAAATATATGCTGTGAAAGGAGAAAGAAAATAAAAGGAGTAATACAATGACTTGTAATTTAAATAATCTAATTGTAACCGAACAGAATCGATAGCCTGCTGCTCGCTGTTATATGCCAAGATGATTTAGCCTAAATAAGTATTTATTCAACTGTGTGTAGCCTATCTATCTTACTGTCAACACATTTCAACAATACATCAGGTCGGAGAGATATCGGACAGCTTGTTTAGCGTGTCTCTGAACATTAAGTGGCGCTGTAACCAAGCAGCATTTTCGGTGAAGCTTAAACCCCTGAAGGGAGAGAGAGAGAGAGAGAGAGAGAGAGAGAGAGAGCGAGAGAGCTCCCTCTCCTCTCTGTGTTTCTGCCGTGCACAGCGGACTCTCTCCTCTCTTTTCGCAGTGTGCTGAACCTGCAGGTGTGTGTGTGTGTGTGTGTGTGCGTGTGTGTGTGTGTGTGCACCGACTGTCCGCCGAAGCTGTTCTCACTTTGACCACGTTTGGGACCAAATTTGGATGTAGCAAAACCGAGGCGACAACTCACACCGTAAGTAGGCTGGCCACAGTTCACCCTGGCTGCGAGGATGTTGCAGTGATAAGACAGCAGAGCAGCTTCTCCGCCGGCATCGTCAGCTGTTGCTCTGTAGCAGAGAGTGGAAGAGTCGCGAGCAACAGCAGAAGACTAAAAAGGCCGAACTATGCGACGGACTTTCTGCCGGTAACCGTTTTCCACCTCAAGTCGACCGCGGAGCGGATGCGAGCGGAGGTTGTCAACGAGCCTCTGACTATTTTCTGCCCTTTTTTGTCGGTGCCGGAGGAGCTGTGCCAATGGAGAAGGCGACTCCGCCGCCCCAGCCCCAGCCCCAGCTCCAGCTGTCGATAGCGAAGACTGAAAGTCCAGCGGAGGACATCTCCGGTCTGACTGACGAGGAGCTGCTCAAGTGGACCAAGGAGGACCTGGTGCGGCGGCTGAGGCGGTCCGAGGCCGACAAGATGAGCGTGATTCTGGACCACGGGAATCTCATTCGAGAGGTCAATCGCAGCCTCCAGCTGCACTTGAACGAGATCAGGGGGCTGAAGGTGAGGGGGCGCGCATCGGTGAAGGATGAGCTCATAGTTTTGGAGCGCACCTGAGAACGCGCATAGCATGAGGGATGTGCTGCTGCTTAATGAGCGCGTCTGCAGGCATGCTGTGAGAATAGATGGTATCGTTGAAGTTCATTGTGCCATTGTGAGGGCCTGTATGAGAATCTGATACAGATGAATGTAGATCCGGTGGGCTTTATGGGCTGTTTTAAGTTAGGCGAATAGTTCTCTTTTTTTTTGGTCAACAATAGTTTAATTAACAGGAAGGGAAATCAATGACAAATTGTATCCTTGCAGCTTGGCTGTAAAGTAAAAAGTCATCCTCCGATTACTGAAGAATCTATTCAAATGCCAATGCTTAAATCTGGCGTCCAGATCTCTCTGTCTGAGCTACACACACACACACACACACCTCACATTCCTAGACAGTTCCTGCACATACATCTGGTATGTGCTGTACTATCTTGCCTTTAGAGCAACGTGGCATTTGCTTTGAAAGTATATGCAAACATTCGCCTTTTCAGTAACCTTTATACTGCCTTCATTTTCTGCACTGCTAATAAGACGACTCTGGCACAATGTCCACAATATTTACAGATAAGGCTGAGACCCAGCCTGAGGTAGCCTCAGAGGAAACACATGGGGATCATTTGCCTTTCTCGGAGACCTCGTCACCTCTCCACACATCCAAGCTGCCTAATTACACAGGAAAGAGCTGGAGGGGTGAGAAAGGGAGAGAGTGTGAGAGGGAGGGGAGAGAGGAAGGAGCTCTAGGGGAGGTGAAGGAGGGATGTTTAAGTAAACGTTGCTGGGTGTAAAATGTTAGGGGCGTGTGATTTCACTGCTCTAACCCAGTTTTATATCCGTGTGTGGCCTCTCCATCTCCTGTAGAGCGCTCTAATCTATATTATGTACTTCACATTGAATGGCACACAGTGAGTCAGTGCTTTTGTGGCAAAGACAGACAGGATTAGAATTGTATTTCATTATGAGTGCAGCATTAGACTGATATCTAAACGAGTGGTGAAATGGATTGAAATTGGACAATGGTTGCAGTGATTTAGTTGGAGTTTAGGTAGAATCAATGGAAGACAAATTATCTCATTTTGCACCAAATTAAAAGCACATTTGTGTTGTTTCTGCCCTGATCAGCATTGTCTTTTTTCATGAGAGCTTCTTAATGATTAGGGCCTCAGTTTAAATCTCTCTCTTCCTCTTGCACTTTCCCTCTCTTCCTCTCAGGATATTAATCAGAAGCTGCAGGAGGATAACCGTGAGCTGCGGGACTTGTGCTGCTTCCTGGACGACGACCGCCAGAAAGGCAAGCGTGTATCCAGGGAGTGGCAGCGCTTGGGACGGTACAGTGCCAGCATCATGCGCAAAGAGGTGACCCTCTACCTCCAGAAACTCAAGGAGCTGGAGCTCCGACAGGAGGAGGTAATCCGGGAGAACCTGGAGCTGAAGGAGCTCTGCCTGCTGCTGGATGAGGAGAAAGGGGTGGTAGGTGGAGGAGGTGGGGGTGGAGGAAGTGGAGGGGGAGGGAGTGTAGGGCTGGGAGGGTGCCGCAACTCCATAACCAGCCAGAGTAGTTTGCTGCTGGTGCCCGGGCAGGGCCTCCTGATGAGAGACGTGGGGGATGGGAGCAGCACCTCCAGCGCAGGGAGCGCTGACAGCTCCGATCACCCTCAACATAAGCAGCCTCACCTGGCTCCAGGGGTGGGTGGGGTTGGTAGCGGTGGGGAAAAAGGGAGCCCCGAGCTTGTGCACAAACCCAGGTGCAGCAGCATCAGTGGAATAGGAAGCATAAGCGGAGTAGACAGGGAGATGCCCAGCCCTGAGCACCCTGCTGGGCGCCACCGGAGTACAAGCCTGGAGTACCCGTACACCCTGCCCCAGCTCTGCCGGCCCCGCTGCGGCTCCATATCCGTGCCTGACCACAGTCGAGCCATGCGGGGCCTCAGCCCGGAAAAATACGGGAGGAACGTGGGCCGACGCAGTCCGGAGCAGCACCCCAAGCACCACAGCTCCGACCTCCTCCTGGGCCAGAGGCAGCACTTCCTGGGTCAGGGAGGCAGCGGGGAGCTCTATCAGAGGCACCACAGGAGCAGCATAAGCAGTATTAGCTGCGGGAGCCCCGAGCCCAGGCAGGCACATTTAGGGGCCTCAGAGCACCATGAAAAGGGCTGCGTGGTCCAGGGGGGCAGCCCCGAAACTCATAGGCACCAGTACAGTATGAGCCCTGACCATGTGAAGTTTGGCAGCCCTGTGAGAGACGGGCAGAGGAGGCCGGCAGGAGACGAGCTGTCGCCACACCATCGGAGCATCTACAATGGCATGAATGGTAGGTGTGTGTGTGTGTCTGTGTGTGTGTGTGTGTGTGTGTGCATTGTAATGTGACTGCATGTGATGTGATCATCCCGTGTTTTGATCTTCTAATTACTTCTAAAAACTTTGCAGAGGAGGACGTTGTGCAACACTCAAAGTTTCACTTAGACTCAAGCCACACAAACACACAAACACACACACACACACACACGCACACACACGCACACACGCGCACACACACGCACACACACTAGTGCACCAACAGTTAACACAACATTTTATCAAGGTTTGGTATCGTATTGTCTCTCTGCACAAGAAGGATTTGGCAGTGGAGATAATCTATTTGTCTCTGCAAAAATGTAAAAATAAAAAAGGAAGATTGCTGCATGACATGTGATGCACTTATTTGATTGAGAAAACAGAGAAACTCTTCCTCATTCTGACCGGTGAAAAAATGTACAGCATTATTGATTTCTTGGCATCTCGAGAGGAATGTGGGTTGGCTCGGGTGGATGAGAGAGAAAATCCGGGGTTCCGATTATTTCAATATTTTACACGTTCTGTATCTAAATTGAACAGATTGGACTCAAATGAACCACGCTCAGATATCAGTGTGTGCTGTAGCGTTGCGACACACACGCACGAATCACCGCCCTGACTTTACTGCAGTCGTGCCGATCTCAGTGAGAGTTAAGGATGTCAGAGAGAAGGAGGAATATCAAAGTACCAACTTGGCTGCTGTTTAAATACCCCACGGTGGCTGATAATGATTTCTGGAGTCCGGGGGAAAAAGTGCTGAGTGGCACAGAGCTGGCAGAAGCTAAAGGACAAATTCCTCAAGGTGAAATATCTGCCTGCATTTGCAAAACAAGGCTGATATTACAAGAGGAACAGAAACAGTGTACACAGAGTGGAGTACATCCTACACGTACAGGAAGGCATTCAATTACCTCTCATGAAGTAATGTCAGGAGTCAGATGCTGTTGTTTGTTTTATTTTACCTTTATTTAACCAGATGAGTCAATTGAGAACCGGTTCTCATTTACAATGACAACCTGGCCAAAGAGGCAGCAACAGGAAGCAAGTCATTACAAACAAATAAAACAAGTCTCGTAGAAAAAACATCATAATAATAATAATTGTTACTGAATGGTAAGTCATTTATAACGATTGATTTGATATGTATTTCGTTCTAAAAAGACCATCTTTCTATCTCATTGTGACCTTTAGGTGCTACTCGAAGGGGCAGATTCTACACATGAAGATCAGTTGAGCACTATAGCCTCTGAAACAGTTGTATGATGTAATCTGTGGCTCTGGAGGAGCTTTGTCATGGCTGATGGCCTGATGATGTAACTGTGATGTCATCAGGGTCATCTCGTTGGTTTTGGAAACTGAAAATGTGTCAGAAAGACTGTTACAAACATGGAGTCGTGGAGGTCGAAAAACAACAGACAGGGATGGCCTAACAAAGAGACCATATTGAGCTGCATTATGGGAGATGTAGTGTTTTTTGAACATAAGCCATACTGGAGACTAAAAGTCAGGATATCATACCATCCTCTTTGTAAACGTCCTCCCAACTTTGTTAAATTAAAACACTAAATTGCTGAAGTACAATAATTACAATACAGCCACTGTAGCCTCACACATAACAGTCTCGTAAACATCTCTCTCGAGCCATTTTGCAATCTCCACTAATTGCAGCGGATTATTGTGAAGACACACACAGACACACAACTTTGAGTTGGATCATAATTCTGTTTCTATTTTAGCTCTATGTGCACTCTGTAGCTCCATATGAGATTTCAATCTTCTTGTAACCTGAAACCCATATGATGTCTGCAAAAGGCCACGCCACATTAATGCCTCGCAAATCCTTAATTGGAAAATGTTGTGAGTGCACAGGGCACTCACTGGCCCTCATGTCTGGTGGTTTGCCAACTGTGGCATCATAACTGTTGTGAACTTAGCTCAGAGTGAAATGCATGCAGCAAATAGCCTTTAACCAGGTTCATAAAGACTTCATTAAGCCTGTGTGAGAGAGAAATGTGTGCGTGTGTTGCTGTAGAGTCCTAACGGTATATCATCTGTCAGAATGGCTGCTTATCTCTATCATGAATGTCCTCACAGGGACGCCATGCCTCCACTGACCTGACAAGGACACTAACTTCAAGTGTCACAACACAGTTAGATGGAGACATGCAAACACCACTAAGCCGGAGGTGGAAGATTTTGCTTTTGTGGTGTTGATACTAAATGAATTGCGTCAAAATGTAGGCTGTATTTTGGTGTTGGAATTTTGCTGACAGATTGAAATATTCAAACGTGCATGCCTGTTGTGAGGTAGAAGTAAAGAGAGCAGCTCTGTGTCTGCGTGGGTCATCCACTGGCCCATCCTTACCGCCATGTCCTTTTTTGGACGAAGAGGGAATTTGATTCCTGTGACGATGTAGTACACTCCACTCACTTGGATTATCCTCTAAGCCCTTTGCACAGTATTATTTCATTTTTTTGATGTACATGTATGTGTGTGTGTGTGTGTGTGTGTGTGTGTGTGTGTGAGTGTGTGTGTGTGATTTGGGTGGATGTGTCCCATCCAGTGTCACTGTAGCAGTGTTTTATTCAGACAAATGAAAGTCTCATGTACACGTGCCACTCGACAGCACTGAAGCTCAGGCCATTTCAATTCCTGACAAAATCCAAGATGAAAGCAAAACATCACTCTGACCTCTGCAGCCTTTTAATACAAACTGCTCCTGCATGCTTTGGTCAGCTTATCACACTTATTCTGTTATGTTTACAGCCGGGGCGAGGGGTATGATCTCCAAAACGACTGGAAGCATTCTTAGTTTTGCTTTGTAAAATGATAGAAATGTTCAGTTTTCTCCCAGAAGAAAAGAAACCGTCTCATCTCAACGGTACATGACCCGGAAAAACACAAAAGGGATGTACCTAAAATGCATTTAGAGAATTCAGGGAGTACCGAGTGCATACATTAAAAATACAATAACTGCATGTCACTTGAATAGCAATACATATTGTCTTGCCCGTATAAAATAATGGGCCTGTAAAGCCTGTTAAGTAGCTACAAATAAACAATGAAACCTTCAGCTCAGCTGAGACGCAGATCAAATATGTCCATCTTCCCATGTGATGGACTCGCTCTAGTGAAAGACAATCAGCCGTGAACACTGTAGTCTCCTGACCCAGACTGTTTGCTAAGCCTGTAGGATGCAGAGGGGCTTTTTCAAAAAGAGGAGAGACTTAATCATGTTTTCTGCTTCAGCAATCGCAAGTTCTGCATATTCGCTTAAGCTGCTCAGATGATCGGGAGGAGAAAAGAAAAGGCTGCATGGGAAAAAAAAGACACTACAGTGTGTGTGTGAGAACCTCTGCCCTTGTGATGCCAATGCATGCCACACACACACACACACATGCACATGCACGGTGTAAAACTCTGCAATTGACCATTGGTAAAGCCACGCCCTCCCCTTAGTTACTGCTGCTATGTGTGAGGCTTTTCGTCCTTGCGCGGCACTAAACAGTTTATGATGACGACAGGTCACCACTCAAACGTCTTAGTTATCTCTGAAACTATATATGTGAACTTAAGTTTACACAGACGTGCAAAAAATACTAATTTCTTGCTATTCATTTTGCCTCCTGAATCGACAACTGACGTTAGCAGATTTGACCATTTGCCTTTTGCTTGTTATTACATCTGAATCATGTGATCACAGTGAAAGATAGCGGACTGCCAATAACATCATTAACCACAAACCACGACAACCAAGCCGGACTCTGAAGCCAATTGTGCATCGTGGCCAAACCATAATACAAGACCGAGCAGTTGGGTTAAAAGAAGTGCGCTTGCTCTATGGGCCCCTGCTCTATGGGCCCCTGCTCTATGGGCCCCCGCTCTATGGGCCCCGTGGTTGCGGAAGATCCGGTTCATTTCATATCTGGAAGTCTAACTTCTTTGGCTTGACTTTCATAGAGATAAACGGGGCACCGTCTCCAACGCTGTATCCAGTTCTCTTTATACATCATGATGGCAACAACAATTGTGTCACATCCAATCACTTTTTCCATTGTGTTGTGAGCTTCTTGCAGCGCTTTTTCTAAATGCTAAGCATGTACATGGGTGAAGATGGTTCTTCATTTGCATTGTGTTGAGCTCTTATAAGGCCACTGTATTTTTGACTTAATGAGAACTGACAGACACTGGCAGCATAATCCTCCATTCTTGTGCATTTTTATGCTATTTTATCTGTTTGAATTAGCACGGATCGTCGCACTGCCTCATTCATTCTCATTCTATTAATCTATAATTGCAGCATCATTTCAGACTCTCCAGCTCCCCCGGCTGTTGTTGAAAAGTGCTGCTGCCTGTCTGAGACAGGAAGTCATCACTGAAGCTTTGGCCTCAGATCATGTTCTCCTTCTCCGCTGTCACTGCGAAAGCCAGGCTATCTCTCTCCCTCTCCCCCCTCTCTCTTGCCTTTCTCTCTCCTTCCATCCTAATTGGGTGCCAGTGTGAACAACCAGCTGTCGGACAGAGAGAAAACTCTGGTTACAAAGACCTCTTTCTGGAGAAGGCTGGAGGCTGTTCTGTTTGCCAGGCTGGGCTGAGGAAAGAGGGTTGAGGAAGTATTTTAGTGTATTACTGGTTGTTTTTCTTCCCCTCCTTGTCCTTCAACTTCTCCTCTTCCTCTGACTCCACTCTATCCTCTTCTTCGCTCGTCTGCCAGGGCGAAGGATGGAAAGCAGCCCCTTGACAAATTGTAAAGTCTCACAGCCTAAGAGGCGTGAAGAAACTCAAATGTTTGTCACAGCTGCACTCTAAACAATTTCACCGTAAATGAACGGTAACTTACTGGCAGCAGGGACGCCAGTAATGTACTGTTTTCTTACGGTATCTTACCGTATACTGGATTACGGTATGTGACAGTAGGATAACTGGGTTTTACCGTGATTTTACGGTATATGCCAGAATAGGGCTGGAGTGTGTGT